AGTTGGGGCGATGCGGGGGGGAGCGCGCCGCGGGAAAGCGGGTGGGGGTGGGGGTGCGGGGGCATGGTGCTCTCCGTCCTGTGGGAGGGCGATGTGTGTTTAGCGGAGGGAGAGGGGGGAAGCGCATCTCCGTCTCGACACGCGTATCGCTTGCCTCGTCTCACTCATCCTGTCTGGTGTGGGGCATGGGCATTGCAGGAGGTGCACATCATGCACGAATTCCAACACGACTTTTACGGCAAGCACATGAAGGTCGTCGTGCTGGGTTACATTCGACCAGAATTCAACTATGTCAGCCGAGGTGCGTCTCGCGGGTCGTGCTTTGCCCCCCTTGCCCCCTGCCCCCATCTCCAACAAGTAGGCCGTCGTCAGGTGCATGCTGACAGACGCTCAGCCGATCCCTTGGACGCTTGCAGAAGCTTTGATAGAAGATATCGAGACGGACAAGCAGGTCGGACTTCGATCGCTGGACAGATCAGCCTGGTCAGCGTACAAGCAGGATTCGTTCTTTGCAGAGCATGCATCGTGATAAACCAAAATCGAGATGACTCTCTGAAATCGGCACGAATGCATGGACCAACACGCCGAGCGGTGTACGATCGAGATGCTGAGAAAGCATTGGATGCCTCACGAAGCTGCGCGGATGGCGCTTCTTGTTATTACATTGGGTAAGATGTGTTTGATCAGGCTGGACAAAGGGAGCGTTTGAGCAATGTGTGAGCGCTAGTGGCGCCTTGGATGCTCCTGGTGGATCTGGTTGATTATCGCTGAGCAAGTGTTCGAGGGGGTGTTGCGACTGTGCCAAACAGGTCTTCTCACCGTGCATCCAGTCCGTTTGAGGATGCAAACTTGACGTCGGGGTGCCATGTTCGACCTCGTATAATGCCTCCTGTCTCGACACTTCTTCTTCTGCTCTTAACCAACCCATGCTGCCTCCAACCAAGTGCTCAATCCGCATAAAGATTGCGATCAGGACCCTCGACACTAGCATCGTCATTCTATTCCAACGCCACCTGTCCTCGCTGCTGATGCTTTGCCGTGTTGCTCGTCCTCTTTCAGCATTTCTCGTATCTGTTTCGCCAGCGCTTCGGCTACCTTCCAAATCCGGGCGGGGGACCAAAGTTGGGGGGAGGTCTAGCCATGCCAAGCGGAGGAGGTCCCGAAGGCGGTCCTTGACCATGCATACCCATCGGAGGAGGTCCTCCCGACGGACCGCCTACGCCCATACCCATTCCTGGTGGAGGTCGACCGTAGCCTGGTGGTGGACCGAACTGTCCTCCTGAAGGACCTGGACCGCCAGGACCTGGACCGCCTGGAGGTCGGTAGCCGTACCCTCCGCCTGGTGGTCCGTAACCGTTCGGCCCGCCCGGACCCATAGGCGGTCTGAAAGGGGGTCGATAGCCTAATATATCAGAAGGAACGCGAGCGTTAGATAAAGTAAAGGCGTACTTGCAAAAGGCTCAGAGGAGCAGGCATGCATGCATGTATGCACGCATTTCCCCATCGTAGCATGCACTCACCTCCACCTCCAAATCCTCCCCCGCCTCCTCCGCCCGAAGCGGGGCCCATCCCACCCATCGCCTCCGTGGGTCTGGTCAATCCGACCTCTTCGTACGCTCTGGTCACGTCCGCCAAGATTCCTTGCACTTTGGCAGGATCCAGTCCCTGATAATAATCCCTCACATTTTGCATATGATTTCTGCCCGAATTGTGCGCTTTACGGACTGCGCGGCGAAATGTGGGGGATGGAGTGATGAGGAGAGGAGGTGAGTGGGAGGGAATGGATGCGCTCTTGCGATTGGTGAGAGAGTGATGTGATGCATCAAAGCTCACCTGAGGTCGAATCGTGCGTGAGGTACACGTCGCAGTAATCGCAGTAGTGCTTGCCCATCGTGGCGCCAGTGCCTCGATGATGCGTGAATACCGGCGCGTCTCTTTCTCTCCAAGGTGCGAGCACAACAAGCTTTCAAGGCAGTGGTCGGCAACCTGGAAATCGCGAGCCTTGGCAAGCAAAGGCGGATCGCTGTTTGTTGGAAGACTCTGAGGGATCTAGCCAAATTTGGTTTCTTTTTTCTGTCCCTTTTTTCGCTTCGTTGGATGGAAATGGGAGCCAAGGAAGCCTGGCGCTAGACTTGAGTTGAAGTCTAACAACTGTAGATGCTGGCAAAGCACTGCAAAGACCAGTCACTGAGTTGCGTACAGCAGTCACCTAGAGATGGATGTTGGTGGTGGGTCAGGCGAAGAGTCGAGCAAGTGGGAGGAGTCCAAGCATCCTGCTCTTGTGCGCTCGCTCGCTCGCTCGCTCCCCACTGCGTCGCTCGTGCCACGATCACGTGAATACCGCTCCAGCAAGGTTGTGAACGGTTGGCCACACGTGACCGGTGCTGAAGGTTTGCTTGTAAAGGCGTGTTTGCAGGCCTTTTCACGATTCTCGTTTTGAATTCGCTTGACTTGCAACAAAAGTCAAAGGATTTTCAAGCCGCACGCTTTCCTGAGTCAGCTTCACCAAAGCATGAATGGATGGGAGCATAGCAGTCCAAGAGTCAAGAGTCAAGAGCCAGATCATCACACGGCCAACACGTCACGTCAGCTACATTGGATTGGATTGGATTGGATCGGACGCAATCGCTGGCATGCCAATGTGCGTTGGACGCAAGATCTGATTCCAAATGCAAATACAAGAATCACCAATGAAGAATGAAGAATGTCGCAGGGCAGGAGGCCGGTCGCGTGACCAGACAAAGTATTGTTATTTCATCATGAGCGATGAAAAGAGTCAAAGTGTTTAGGGAGTCATCCGCATCCGCTACAAGACATTTCAAAAGGACTGAGGACGATCCACAGGCCCAGCAGGAGGGAGACGAGTCAGGAGCGAAGCAAGACAAGACAAGACAAGACAAGACGCAAAGCGCGGATGGATGCATGGGCAATCACAATGCAAGAAGAGACGCGCACATTGCCACTCGGACTCGGGCAGCGCGAAGAGGCGCAGCCTCGATGGAAGGATGCTCGCAAGCAGCACCGCTCCGTCGAGCGGGATGTTCGTAACAGGTTGCACTCTATCCTTTCAGACATTCGCTTCACACACCAACTCCACTCTCTTCACTTTTCCCACCTGCCCCTCATTCCCAATCTGCGTTGCGGCGCGTGGTACGTCTCGCCACATCTCTCCCGCTGCGTGCCGCCGCCGCCGCCGACCTACTTTAAATCCACCGACGGCCATCTCAACACCTGGCATTTCAGTCTAAAGAGGCCCAACTTGGCTTTCTTGAAGCTGACGCTCGAAAAGCGAGGCGCTGTATGCGTCGACTCGACGAGAAGAGGCAAGATCTTGCCTGATGCGCTCAGCAAAACTTTGCCCATCTGGTGCGCCGTGCTCAACGAAGCCTCTTTCAGACGTCATGGCGTGCCGCGCAAGGAGACTCAACCTCAAACAGTCTCGCATCACTCGGAAGAGCAGCGGGCTGCTGAAAGGCATCCGCTCGCATCACTGCGCACATACCTCTCAGCCGTCTCGCCACAAGAGCATGCGGATATCGAGTGTCGACTGCATGACTGGGCCGAGAAGCTGCTGGTGAGTGACAATGCCCTGTCCTGTCGTGCGAGCAGAGCTGATACTTTATGTGTGTCCATCGCAGTCATCTGCCATTCACGTTGCTCGATTAGAGGCACCTCTCGTGCCATTCTTTATTACGCCATCTGCTTTGGGCGCTTCTTTGGGCGAAGCAGCTCAGGAGGGCGTAGAGACCGACGAATCCGCATCGCTTACCTCTGAGCTCGAAGCTTTCAGACGAGCGACCAAAGATCACAACATCGTGCCTGTCATTTGTGTTTCTGCATCTTTGCACGCAAACGCTCCTGGCCAAGAAGCACATTTGCCGCGCACCCGCAAGAGGAAGAAGTTTGGCGTCGGCGTCCGCGTTGGCTTTGGCGTTGGCGATGACGATGACGAGTCGCATTTGGTGGCAGCAGCAGCAACAGAGACGCTTATTCCTCGTCCGGTGGTGATACCTTCGTCGGCATCCAGCACAGTGACGGTGTCTGCCGAATCAGAAGCATCGCAGACTTTCACATACGTACAAGGAAGCGGCGACGACGAAGAATCCTGGTCTTTGGGTCTCAACCCCTCCGTCTTTTGGAAAGACCCAGAGAGAATCTTGGAGGAGGTGGATGAAATCTATGCTACATGTGCAGACCAGACCGCGAGGAACGTGGCATGCAGACAAGCGTTTGCTCGTCTCAAAGACGAGGAAGAGGAGCATGTGGCCAGGGTTGACCGAAGCGAGGAGCGCTCGGCTCGTCCTGTTGAGATTCCTGCGAGCGGGATCTGGATAGGAGAAGATGCGCCGGAGCAGACGATGAACTTTGCGCGCTTTGCGCTCATTCTACACACTTCGAGGTCTGCCTCATCGGCTGAAACGTTCGGCGACGGCACGGATCGCGCCGAGCCGAGGTTAGGCTCTGCACCGTCTGCGTGCCGGCAGCGGCAGGTCAATCTGGGATGGAAGGCGGGTAA